AAAAAGAGTGCCCAACAAGTCAACAATATAAACTTCTACCTTTAGTAGTCCAAAAGTGAATGTTACAGCCACATACATTCTGAAGCACACAGTACACTACAATTTCAACAGCAAATCATCATAATTAAGGCTATGTTTGGTAGACAAATAACCTAGATTATAGCTTATTTTGGTAGCTTATAAACTTCCTGTATTCAAATAAACCTTGTTTGGTAGGACGAACTCTTTTAGAAAGCTCGAGCTTATCACATAAGCTTCTTTAGGTAGCTTTTTTCAAATAAGCTAATTGAATTTTTTATTTCAACTAGTTTATCAACTAATTTTACCAAACACTTTTATCATATAAGATAGCTTTTTAGCTGTAAGTCATAAACAATTAAGCTATAAGCTCAAAAATTACATATAAGCTATAAACTAGCTTATCAACAAATTTTACCAAACATAACCTAAGTCCAATTTTGGCCAAACATTGCAACCCACCACACACACACACACAAAAAAAAAAGTAGTAGAAGAAGAAACAGCAATAACCTCTTTGGCGGGCCCATCAGATATCCTAGGCGAGCTGGCACACGACGAGTAATACCTGCTCCCATTATCCGTCAGCTCTCCCCTCGACTCGTCAAAGCTCCCAACATGGCTCGTGCCCCCCGTATCCCCAGGCCAAGCACTAATCCCTAAGTGGCCAAACTGCAGATTCACAGCCTCCGCCCTCCCAACACGCAGCGGCCCGTACACAGGCCCATCCCCCGCAACGTCAACAGGCCATGCCCTGGCCACAGAGCCGTCGCCATTTACAAGCGCCATGAGGTGCCTTGTCGAGCCCTGCCTCTGGATGAGCTGGAACATGCCCTTGGATCTCAGAGAGTAGGCCGTGCACTGGCTTCGGTACTCTTCGTCCACTGCAGGGACCGTGTTGGTAACAGGGTCATAAAGAGGATCATTTGAGTCTCGCCTGCGGAGGCAGCCGAAAAGGGTGGCGTGGATGATGGCAACGCTACGGTCGACGTTGGTGTTGTTGATCTTGGGGACGAGGTGCTTGTCGGCGCGGTTGCAGAGGTACTCTTGGATGGTGCGGATGTTGCGGATGTATTTGACGTAGCGGTTACGAGCAGGGTCCAAAGTCATGTACTTGGCACGAACGGCGAATCTCTCAAGGTGCTTCTCCTCGTTCGAGATGTAGATCATGAAGGGGATGATAGATGGGTGCTTTTTCATGAGGCCCATCTGTGCAGAGGGTGTATCGAGTGATGGTAACAAAGTTAGAGACAATTAAGGAAAAATTACTTCAGAAGTAAACATATAGGTGCAAAACTGCGAGGAGACTACTTAAGAGTTTTAAGAGTGTATCTAATCAAACCACAAGAAAAAAGTGAAAAATAACCAAGGGCGTGCGTAAGAAGCTCATCATAAACCATTTTTCAGAAAATAAATTAAAATTTGAAGTAAACACATCGCAAATATTTTTCAAAATTGAAGTGAAAATTGTGAAAATGTGGGTAATTTTATAATTTATTTATTTATTTTTTTTTTAAAAAAAGAGTTTCATGGGTCAGGTCAATCATCAATTAAAGCTATGTATACACAAATTCGTGAGAAAGCAATAGCATAAACTATTACCACAAAATTAAGACTTAAGTGAACGCCCTCCACCACAACCGACTCCTTCCTTTCGTCCCATGCAAACACGTCACAAATATTTTTCAAAATTGAAGTGAAAATTTTGAAAATGTGGGTAATTTTATAATCATCAATAAAGCTATGTATACACAAATTTCTCAGAAAGCAATAGCATAAACTATTACCACAAAATTGAGACTTAAGTGAACGCCCTCGACCACAACCGATTCCTTCCTTTCTTCCCATGCAGTTATAAGTCGATCGAGGCTGTCAATTACCATTTCGCTTTGTGCTTTGAATCCTTCAACAGCCATCTGTTTCGGACTAATTAAATCACCAGCCGTTGTATTGCATTTGGATTTTCCACTAGTGGGATTACTGAGCCCTTCATCTTTAGCTAGAGAGGCAGCAGAAACCCCACCTGATTTCTTGGCTTTCTTTTTGGCCTTAGCTTCTGCGACTGCAACTGGATCCAAATGTTCACCGGCATGATAAGTTGAGGCCCAGAGTAATGGGTTTTGTTTCTCATCAGCAAAGCTCCTCATCATATGGCGAATTGAGTCGGTAGATATAACAGTAGTGATACCCAACCTGCTACCCTGCAGTCACATCGATGGATATGAGAAAATATTTTTGGAAAAAAATTATATCACCAGATCTCAATTTTTCATAGATAAATTCACCAAACCCATATGGTTAATCCAATTCCAGGTAAGAACCAATGCCAAAAATCAATGTGCAAGGAAAGCTTATGATTTCTGAACAAGCAACAAACATTTGTTCGACCTTCTATCCAATTTATAAAATTTGGAAACTAGAAGTTGATGTGGGATAAATGTTTCAAAATATGAAGAATCATCAAATAATAAGGCATCACAAGAATAGTAATAGAATCTAAAAGCTCTAAGATGTAAACTGCCTATTTAATGAGTTTGATGCTGCTGATCATATTATAAATAATTCTTCAGGATAAGACTTTCTCCGAACTAGTCATTGTGAAACAAATTGAGAAGAAAAAAATATGATGATGAAAAAACTAGGAATAAGCTCAACAAGTTAGATAGACATGCTAAAAAATCTGAATACTATTGAAAGAACTACCAACTAAAAAGAAAAGATGAAAAACTGACGCAGAAGCAAAACCAAACATGTGAAACCATGGAAGAGAAAGCCCACCAATAAGGCAGATAAAGTAGACTTTCCACAGCCACTCGTGCCACAGAGTAAGACAGTCACAGATTCCTTTCTTTCTCTGATTCTGAAATAAAAAGAGAAGAGAATTAGAGAACAGGAGCGCATGATCTCCACTCAAACCAACATAAATAGAATCTCAGATTGAAGTACCCTACATAGCTTGCATTCACAGATAAGTGTACAAAATTCTAGGGCATGATGCATGCAGATGAATTTGAAAAAATAATTACGCGTCAATAGTTATAGAAACATTAAAAACGAATCCTTTATCGTTGCAAACGAACCAGGTCAGGAAGCTATACCAGTAATAACATCCCATTTACTAATAAATTTCTAGATCAAAGACCGAATCAACACCTCTACCATTCTGAGTCTTTCCACCATTAAGAGTAAATAATCAAGACAAGGGAAAAGTTTACAGAGGAGAATAGAAAAGCAGTACAATTGAGAACTACAGCAAAGTGAAGAGAATTAACAAGATTTCTCTTAATAAATCTAAGTTTATCATATCTGGACATGTATTCATCCTTCCACCATTCAATTCTTTCCGGCAGCTATATTGGCTTTATTTTTTTATCAAGTATAGTACGACACAAATAAAAATGGGTAACGACAATAACAACTTAAAAAAGCAGGAACTACTTGTTTTTCTGATTACCTAGTCAAATTTCAACTAGCTGAGTTAGGTGTTGTTTCCCAATGTTATTGCAAAAGGGAAGAAATGTGTATGTACGCTGATACTAGTTATTAAAGGTAGCTAATGAACTGTATATAAAACATCAGGTTATTCAAACAAGTTAGTTGAACAAATTAACCACCTGCGGTAGAGCTTCATTCGTACATTCAATCAAGAAAGAATTATGTACATTCAGATGGCTATGCATGCCAACTCTACCTGCAAGCTAATACTAGATCAGCCCTCTGATTTGGACCCACATACTTGTACTCTGAGAGAGCATCACATACAACATCTAGAAAATATTTTCTTCCAACAACCATGGTTGTGCGTCTCTTGTACGATTCAAATGGTTTGCTTTTGCTCACATCTTTCGCCTCAGATGAATGATCAACATCTTCTTTGTCCGAACAGGGTGGAAAATAGCATTTATTCTCCCCTTGAGGATATAATTTAGCAACCTGTGATGACACCTCTATAGATTCTGACACAAACTTCTCCACAAAGTGCTTGTGTTTCATCACATCAAAAACCCTTTGGCTAATCTGAACAGATTAAGAGTATCAGGACTCAATGTGACTTCCAAATTAGGAAAAGTAAACAAGTACGAAAACAAGAGACAATATGCTTGCAATAAAATTTGCAGAAGATACACAATTAACGCACAGTTAACTCAATGCATGAGGGCATCTGGTATTTTCCAGATGACATGGAAAGATTTTTGTAGTAAATGCAGGGTAATTATACATTCTTTGGTATTATTAATTAGGTTTGACAAATTATTCATTCTATAGACAGTTGAAGTCTCCATCGCTAATATCACAACTGCTCCAAGACCCACAAATCAAGAATTATAGAAATATTGTAATCGATTAAACAAGAAACGTATCATCTCCAAGAATTGTGCATACAGATGTCAAGACAGAACCAATCCCTATTTAGTGAGTGAAAGAGATCCCCCCAGTAAACTCATCTATTATCCTCAAGTGTATGACAGAATCCATTAATACTTCATATAATAAACTACATACAAATAATAACCAAGTAGAAAGGAGAAATGTTTATCCACTAAACTGCTCAAATCACAATAGTTACAAGGTAAAAGTAAAACTTATTAAGAGATCACGCACACTCAACTATATATAGGGTAGTGTAAACATTACAGGTCCGAAAAATAGAGAGTACAAAAATCAGCAAATAGCTATGTTAAACCATATTATCTGCTCTGAGCCTCATAATTTCTCATCTCATCAACAAACATATAAGCCAGGACATACTACCGGCTCATGGTCGGAAGCAGAGACATTGCACATACTTAAAACGACATGCACGAAATTTAGAGAACAGCAAATTCTCACTAACTGAACAAAAATAAGCGGGAAAGAAGCGAACCTTTTACAGGATACAAAAACAAATTGGGAATAGGAATTGCCTTGACTGACCTTAAAGGCGTGACGAGCCTTGCAACCCATGAGCTGCAGAGTACTCTGCAGGACGGAACGCGTGTATCTAAACGACGGCGAACCCTTCCCGGCTGCCGCCGGCGCCGGCGCCGGCGCCTCGGAGTCATCCTCTACAACCACCACGTAAAGCAGTTTCGCCGCCCCCTCCGCCGCCTGCATTTCTCGAACCTACACACCAATCCACATGCACACACGAATTACTCCAAATAGACGCAGCTCAAATCACAGATCAAACGCGCATCCATCAACCGCACTCAAAGACAACAATCACAATGCAGGTCAGTAAGATAACGAACAAATCCACAAACCTGGAGAACTCAAGATGGAAAAGAAGGGAAGAAAAGCTCCCGAGACCTCTTTAGGGTTCTAAAAGGTGTCGATAGAAAGAAAGTTTTATAGAAAACGAAAATAAGAAAAAACAGAGGAGAATCACGGGAGGAAGAGGGAAACAACGCCGTTCCCGAGGCGATCCGGCCATTTGCACCGCCATCAACTGCCACGCATCGCAGCTTTGGGTCTCCACCTCTCTCTCTCTCTCTCTTCCCACGTATATAAGTCGAATAGGTGTTTGGGCCAAATGACAGATTTAGGTCTCGTTCGAAGTCGAAATTACGAGGAGGGCCCTGAACGCATGTATGTTAGTGGGGCAGATGAAGGCGTAGTGGCAAAATTCGTAATTTTCGATCGGGCGATGGGGCTGCAATAGCGTGACAACATTGGACTTTCGCTTTTTTCTATGTTCTTTTCTCACTTACTTTGAACTTTTTTCATTTTTATTTTTTTATTTATTTATATTTTTTTTTGGTACAATGAAAGGATCTCAAGCCTAACGGCTCAAGTCACACACGTTTCGCGAATAAGAAACGCCGATAATATCATGATGAAGCCACGGTCGAATCTCAACGGATGGAATAGTAAAGAACTGGTACTCCATCACTCCGTCCGCAGCGAAGGAAGCCAAATGGTCGGCTGCAAAATTCGCTTCACGGTAGACATGTTTTACCTTGACCATCCAAGATCGACTCAAGAGTTCCTTGATACCCAAAACCAGGCTTGCGTGCACGCCCAGTACATCATCCAAAGTCTCAGAAAAACCCACAACACTCCGCATTATTAACTTCGGTCTCTACTTTACGAAATCCCAAATCCCACGCCATACTAAGACCTCTAAAGAGCCCCCATAGCTCCGCAGCCATAATCGAGCACAAACCTATTTTCATCGTGAACCCGCCTAACCAACGTCCTTGATCATCCCGGACAAGACCCCCCGCATATCCCATGCCCGACAAGCCGTTAAACGATCCATCAGAGTTTACCTTAACCCATCCCGGCAAAGGCCGTAGGCAACCAGTCCCTCCAAGCTTTCCGGCACTATCGATAAATTTCTTAATCCTGTCGATATAGTTGGAGACCTCCCGCAAACACGTCGCCACGTCCCGAACACGCTCCTGAAAAATAATTTCATTCCTCCACGTCCAGAGTTTCCATACAACGACCCCAAACGTGCAATCCCATCCGGCTACCTCAGCGCTGGACCAGTGAACCAGATTAGCATAAATCCACAATTGCAGCGGTAACGTGAAAAAATCAGCATGGTGTGTATCATGAAGTAGCCGGCGCCAGACTTCCACTGCCAATGGACAATCACGGACGACATGCAGCGTCGTTTTCTCGATATTGCCACACTTCTCGCATGGGGCGGTTTCCGTCAGATGCCGTCGTGTAATGCCCCATTTATTTATGAATTAATTGAGATTATTTATTATTATTTATTATTATTATTATTATTATTATTATTAAATGTCTAATTGTCATTAATTGCCAAATTGCTTATTATTATTAATTAAATAATGTGTGTATTATATAAATAATTATCCGGTTTTATTTTCATTATCGTGCGATCAAACCGAGTTATTAATTTGGCTAAGTCGAGCCCGTAAGAGCCAAGAGACCCGGCCCGAGTCTTTAAACCCGCGCGCCCCAGCCGAACCGGCCGAACCCTCGGCTCGTCTCTCTCTATATTTTTGAGCCCGAGCCTTTGTATTTTTGAACCGGGTCGAGCCTTTATGTTGAACCCTTCGACCCTTTTATTTATCGAACCTAGCCCGACCGTGAGCCCGAGACCCGCGCCCGTCTCTCCCTCTTTTGATTTTATCTTGGTGGGCAAGTAGCCTAAACCTAGGCTTATTAATATGGGAGAGCCCTTCCTTTTTTTATCCACGTTAAATTTCCCTGCAGCCTCATCTCTCTCATTCTCTTTTAAAACTCTCACCCACGGCTCTCCTTCTTCCTGTTCAATCGATCACACATCACTCCCCAGTGTTGCATCACCCTCGGTCGTCCTTCGCGTGAATCCCCACAGGCCGTCGATCTCCCGAACGCCGCCCCGCTGCTCGAGTGAAGCCCCTGCTACACGACCCTTCCACCAACGAGCGCGCGAACCCCGGGCGATCCAAGCGTAGCTGCCGAGCCCCGCCAGCGCGCCAACATCTCCGCCTCGACTCCTTTCCGAGTATTAATCCCGAGAACGGTATCAAGGTTGTTCATCCCTCTATTTTGATGTGTAAATATGTTATATGTTGATGCCTTAATGAGATTTGCATATTAGGGTTCAATATCTATTGTTTTTATGTGGAGATCTTTTCGATTCATATGAAATCGAGTGAGATCTTGTTAAATCGTAGAAGTGCTGTGGAATCTAGAACTTAGGAGTGTCCTTAATAGAATGGTTTTAACCTTATGTCAATTTGAATTTTAGATTGAGAGTTATGGATTTTTGAAATCAATGTTGCTACTGGAACTTGAAAAATGCATGATAATTCGAGTTGTTGGAAAAAAAATTTGATTTTAATTTGGTGTTTTTCATGGTTAAATTGCGAAAATGATTTCTTTACAGAAACTTGTAAAAATTCATAATAAATTGAGTCATGCTCCAAAAATGCTGAAATTTAAATATGTTGTTCCTCTGTCATGTGTGGTTAGTGTGTATAAATTTCAGAATTTTGGGACTCCATTTGCTAGGGTAAATATTTATTTGAAATTTACTGTTGAACCTTGCTTAAGTTATGAAAAATTGATCTCCTGCTGTAAATGGTTGAATTTTGGTTTATATGTTCATTTGGTGATGTGTTATGTGATATAAAAATCCCAGATTTTATTGAGTTCATTTTGATGTGTTTTTTATGAAAATATGAATTCTGTTGAATCTTGCTATAAATCCTATAAATCGTGTGTTTAATCTTTAGAGCTGGAAATTCTATATGTTGATCTTCACATGTTGTAGTTGTTTGTGTAAAAAGTTCAAAGCTTAAATCGTTCATTAGGTCAGACTATAAATTCATGCTCGTTTTTACTGAAATCATGTTTTAATTTTATAAAATTGGGTGTTTTGAGTTAAGGACTGAAACTTGGTGATATTGCTATGTCTAGTGTTGAGAATTTTTTGTTAAAATTTTAGAGCCTAACTCGTTCAATTGCCTGACCAACATGGAAATGTGATATTCTCGTCAAATATTGTAAACAATTAGTTTATTATGTTAAAGTCTGTAAGCTGGCATATATGTTGCTATTTATTTCTTGTTTTGGTCACCCCCCATATTTGAATTTATGTATAATCCCATAGTTATATTGGTCGAGTCTAAGTGCTAGGTCCAAGTGTTCAATGTCCACAGGACTCCACGAACGACTTAGTTGAATCAAGTTCGACTAAGTGTGATTTGTGTTTTCCTTCTAAGGTTAAGATAAGTGTTGATTGTAGTATCTTGACTTATTGTAGGTGTTTGAGGAGTCAAGCCTCCACCTACATCACTACTTGTTGTGTTTTTGTCATTCCGAAATACCAGGTGGGTTTGTTATTCTAAAATATTTATGCCATATGTGTTTATGTTTGTTGAGTCGGTATGATCAATGTATGCATGTGAAATATGTAGCCTATCGATGTGAGCTGTTACGACCATCGATACGGTTGTCCCCGTCGATGTAATATGGTTGCCCTTGCAAGGCAAGTCTCCTTAAGTCCTGATATGGTCGTGCCCTTGTGAGGTACGTAAGCCCATATAGAAGGCCGTGTCCGCAGCGTGGCATGCACTCCCGCCTTCAGGTAATGAATACTCGTTCTGCGGCTAGTGATAGATGTGCACAGGAGTAATTTGAATTGGTGTGATATTGTATAGGAGATGAGACATGTTGTTACTGATTTATATTCATACTGTGACCGTACCATTTTAACATAATATATTATGTGCATAGAGGTGAGCACTACGTTTTCCAATTGTGCTCACTGCCACCTACTCTTCACGGATCCAGGTTAAGTAGGTGACGGATGACGAGGCAAAGACGAGTGGATGGTCATTAAATTATTTCTTTTGCTTTCGCACTTTATGAACCTATGTTTGAGTTTTACGAGACATGTTGAAACTATTTTTCAACCCTAAGTATGGAATTGTTGCATTCTGGATATTTTGGTGAGCCTATGATGATTTGGATTCTTGAGTATGTGTCTATTGAATATCATGTCGTTATCAAATCTTCATGTTGTTATGTTTTTTATTTAAGCTGAATATCATGATAGATGTTGTGAACTGGGTTAATGAAAACCATGTTGTAAATCGGTTAATGAATCCCTGCAGGATCAGACACGACTTGATCCATGTGAATATGAATAATACCCATGATTTCGAAAATGTTTTCGAAAATGTTTCACTGATTTTTGGAAAGTCTGAAATTTCTTTAAAATCAAAGTGGGGCGTTACAGTTTGGTATCAGAGCTAGTCTGCGTTTCTGTAGACTGGTCTATATGTGAGTTACATGTTTATGTGATTATGTGAATTAGACCTTGTGTTTTGACCACTCGTCTTCGTCATGCCGCGCTGCTTAAAGGTACATCTTATATAAGTGTCAATGAAAATACTTATATTGTAAGTTATATATATGTTTTTGCATGACTAACAATGAGACTATTGTGTTACGATTTGATGTATTTTTGGGGCTTAGGAAATCTATCCACCTTGGTTAAGTTTGAACTCTAGTGATATAGAGTTAGACTTTCGACTTTAGGAGCTCTTTGTGGTGAGTTTTCGATGTAAGGTTATTAAAAACTGAGTGCCTGTAGCAGTTTGCTCGCTACAAGAATTCGTTCAGTGTCCTCAGTGTAGGACCATTCGTGACCCATCTCGGAAGAGAAAGGTTAGGCACCAAGTGAATCTCTAGTGTATGCGATCACTCGGAGAATTAGAACCCCAGTCAATGAGGACCGGGGGTGGCGTTTAAGTGCCACGTTCAGGTTGCTGACCAACCCCTATAACAGAGGAGAATCTAATGCGTATCACGGTCGCGACTCTCGAGAGTGGTTAGGCCTCGAGAGGAGCGATGGTTAAAAATTCTCGTACGTTAAATTGAGCGATAGTCCTGAAGACTGATGCATGGGTGAAAGACGACGACGTCGTTCATGGGATGAGTGGACTGATCCGACATCGCGTGAATATCATGTGCCCTGATGGCGAGCCACGTGGTTGCAAAAAGGTATAAATGTGTGGTTATGCATGATGTTGTTACACTATATGACTCGAGATGCTAAAATTGATGTTAGGTAAAGCATGTTTATGTGATTGGTTAAAAGCTGGGAATTCCTATTGAAACTTATGTTATGATATGCTGGAAATCATGTTTTAGAGTTCAGTTAATATTTGTATTGAGTGATATTCATATGCTCGTTGTGTGAATTATGTTGAGTTGGGTTGATATCATGTTAATTCATGTTAAGTGGCTAAAACACCCCTATTATTTTATGCGAGGGTATATGTGTTGTTGTGTAGAGTTCCTCGTTTATATTATTTTAGGATTTTGTTCGGATTCGTATGAGATATATATATATATGATATATATATATATATGTGTGTGTGTGTGTGTGTGTGTGTGGTCTCCGATGAATATTGTTGACATTGTTATCATGTTTTATGATAAGAAATTGTGGTTAAATGCTGGTTAGGGTGTTAATCATATGATTATGGCATGAAAGATTTATTGGCAAAGTTACCTTGTCTTTGGCATTATTATATAGCCATATTATCATATACCGGTTCTGGAACTCTCTACTCGACCAGATAATAACTCAGACCATCTACATGACGATATGATCCCATCGACGTACTCAAATCGACTTCTGCAAAGTCGACCCTCCATAGAACGACCGCGAAGAGAAGACGGAAACCGTGCCAGTCGACTCTCGGAGGTCGACCTCAGCCTGTCGACTTCTTATAGTCGACATCTATCTAAGAAGAACAACAAGAGCGTAGCCTCCGAGCATTCAGATACCCTAAGTCGACTCCCAGCAATCGACTTCACTAAGCCGATTCTCTAAAGTTGACTCTCACTCGAGAGAACTAACCAAGCGTAGCCTCCGAATTCTCATATGATCATGAATCGACTTCCAAGCTCTCGGGGCGACTTTTATACCTCGAAGACCAAAGAAGTGAGGACGACTCACCACACTTACAGCATACTTAAAGCTCTACATCCTCTAGGAAATAAAGGGGAATCTTGTGATGACTCAGCAGCAAGAGGAGACGAACCGACCGAG